ACTTACAGCATTGAATGGTCTTGCATATGAATTTTCTTCATCCAATGCATTCATCCATGCATTTGGAGAGCGTTGTGATATTGCTTATCATTGTCAATCACAAGTAATAGAAATAATACACAACACTTCACAAGCCAAAAATTAACCTTATTTCAGTTCTTCAATACCTATTCGATTACTTGCCATTCACCCAACCTTGCACCAGCCGCTCGTCAGTGCACAAAGCGTGATCCAACGCGATCGAAAAATGGCGATCGCTTCCGGTGGACGCTAGAACGTGGTACCGCGGGCGTGGTCTTGATGAAAGCCATTATACTGATCAAACCACAACCCCTTCTTCTTAAACCCGGTGCTAGTTCGTGCTAAACCTTCAAAGGGTTTATCTTTCGCGCGCTTTGTGTGACGTAATATCACGTGACTAGGGAGAACGAAGAAGAACCGGTGTTGGTCGAGTTGAAGCCCCCTGGGGCCGCTAAGACTGCACGCGAAGAAGCAGCACGTGTCTTCGGTCTATGTGAAACACTGTGTGTGTTCTTCATGAGCCAGACGTTCTGCTTCGCCTCTAAGCCAGTTTACCCTAATACCCAAAAAACCTAAGTGTGGAATATTTTAAGATGCTTTTGCATTACGTTCTTTCAACTTGTTTTCAGTGGTGGCCTGCTACACTCGCCCAGCTGAGCCCCATTGAGAGACAGTCACCCAGCCTCATTGCACCTGAAAGACGGCCAACCCACTCAGTGTTATACTATCTCTTTACCACAGATGAAATGCTGACATTTTGTCGGGATTGACAGGGGTGGACGGTAGGGATCAAATAACTTCACTCAGAGGCAGAACATGACATTCCTGAGTTAGCTGTAGGGTTCAGGACATAAGATTTTTATCATGTGAGCATTTTAAGTCGGTATGCCTTTCTGGGAGAAGGCTGAAAGCACAACTTGTTAAGCAGTGCCTACGAGCCACTTTGAGCTCGTGAGCCTGACTTATTAAACAACTTATCCAATGGTGCACGCATGCGTTACACATTGGTACAACGGCTTACCTGAAAATCGATTCATCGGATGAATAGCGGAGTTGAGAGTTCAACGATTGTTACTCATCGGGAGTTGTCAAACCACGAGATATGTGGGGCCACCATCGGTTGAAATCATAGCCCTGCCTGACTCTGAGGTCTTCACTCAGATGCAGTTAAATAGACTAAGACTAAGTCACAAACAAAAATATTTTAAAACGTGCCGACAGCGAGAGGTTTGACTGGTTTGACCTGAATTTGACCCAAGTTTTGACTGGTTTGATCTGGCCTCTGGGTTTGACTCAAGATTTGACTGGTTTGATCCACGCCTGCTGAGGCCGAGAAGCAGAATCTGTTCTGCTCCATTAAAGGGACCCTCCCACCTTAACATTAGATTTGAGTTGAGATAGCCAAAATGGGGTCCCTGGCTCACAATTACCGGTTTCGGCACTCACAACATCGAGAAATGCCTTAAATCGGAAATATTGAATTTCAAAATTGCAGCATTTTGATTCAGAGGGGCTAATGCTTAGGAATACCCCTCTGAATGTGTGACGTCAGCGCAGATATCTAACGATTTTTAAATGTTTGACTAAAACGTTTTGTAGCACGCGGTGGTATATGCTATTTGCGCGCAACATCTGCCGCAAACGCCGCACTTCTAAAATAAAGTCGCTAGAAACAGCGGAGATCCCAAAAAAAGTAAACAAAAGTAAAAGTCAAATATCTTGAAAACCGGTGAATATTTTTCGGTGAAATTTGGTAGATATTCGTTTTCGCTCTTTCTGAACCGAGCGACATCACTTTCATGCCAATTCATAAACTTTTTTGAAGGTGGGAGGGTCCCTTTAATCTTGCAATGTCTTCACACCTCGAGACTGCAACTAAAATCTTCAGTATTTCATATTTCTCCTACACGACGTCTTCTATAAAAAATATTGATTTTTTTACATAAACAAGAAAAGTTGAGATGATCTGTCATATAGCAACGTTATATCACGTCCTTTTCCTTTAAGTTTCTGGATTTCTCCACATCTTAACGCATTTTGTTAACCCGCGCCGGGCCGGTGCTCTGAGATTCCGCGCCGGGCCGGGGGTGTCTGAACACCCCCCCCCCCTTCTAACTCGGCTCCTGGGCCACGTAGCGACATGCGGTAAGCGGCAATCGAAAGAACGTCCAAAATAAGGACGAAAACACTTCGGTCATTTTTTGGGTCAGGTGAAAGGTCAGGTCACCAGAGGTCAGCAAAGGTCAAATGTCCACTATTTCAACATTTTGGAAACTGCCAACGGCTATCTCGGGAGCCGATAAAGCTACAGCGCCGCAGAAAAGCGCATTCGATAGCCCTTTTGCAGACCTTTCTGAGTAATGTTCTCAGATTTGACCTCAGGTCAACGGTTTAGCCTCCAGAGGGCAAAAACTCCAAAAATAGCCGTTTTTACGAAAAACGTTTTTTTTTTCGGCAATAACTTTTGACTCAAAAGAGCCACGACATTACTTTTGCCACCATCGTGTTCCTCTCGTCGAGACGCGTCGAATGAACTATAATTTGACATTGAAAGGTCAACTTGAAAATTTGACCTCAGGTCAAGGTCATGACCTGACCGGAAAAGGTCATGTTGCATATCAGTCGATCTGCAACGTCGAGCCGAACACATCTAAGGCGTTTTCAGCGCTCTAGCACGTCTCTATCAGAAGTTATTAGCGAAAAACGGTTAGATTCTGTTCGTGACATGAGATGACCTCGGGGACATAACGAGGGGTCACAGTTGCCATTTTCCGGTTCAGTGTGTCCATTTTACCTAAATCTCGACGTTTGAGAGTGTCTAGAATAGCGTTCGTGCAAAACAGACGCTTTTCAATTTTCTCCCATTGACTTATAATGGAGAGGTCGCAAAATTGACCTGACCTTAGGTCACCGATATCAAAATTCCGAGACATACATTTTCTAGATAATGTTGCTCTAATCAATCGCTGAAAGTTTCAAGGCAATCGATCAATCGGTGTAGCTATGACGAGCATTCTTATTTTCTTCTGAGGTGAGGTCACTTGACGTGACCTGGTGACCTGACCTAAGGTGACCTGGGTCTGAAATTTCCACAGCATGTGCGGAAAAGATGCGCGAACAGATGTGCCAAAAACGGCGGCGCTCCGCGCCGCCGTTTTTGAGATATCTGCGATAAACCGCAGTGGGGGTGTTCAAACACCCCTCCCCCGGCCCGGGGCGGGTTAATGAACCCAAGACGTTCCATGCGTGGTGATTGAGTCAATTTTGTTTCGTCTTAAAAAAAAACGATTTTAATTTTTGAATGATTTGTTACTTTTGAAATCATCTGTTAGAGCTCTTTTTAGCAAATGGCTATAGAAAATGACACATGGGTACCTAATGCACATGTCGTGAATGTATCTCGAATCTGCATTATTCCTTTATCGCATTTCTTTGTTTTTGTTTTTAAGCACGGAAGAGTTATCCATTAAGCGACTTGGGTACCTACTTTGTAATTTTTGACAAATTTATGTTGAATTAGTGCTGGGACGCCTTTTGTTTTTTACTGTAATCGAATTAGAAATAGGTTTAAGATCGCTGTTTTAGAGAGGTGAGGAATACCATTCGGTAATTACGTGCACCTCCCGTTTCAAGGTAGGTACAGGTCTCGCGGGTTTTAGCGGTAGGTTTTGCACCTAGAAAAATTAACGTACTTCAGGCTATATCTTCGTCGTTTTAAGGTCTTAAGTGTTTGAAGATGCGATCGACTTGTTGGTTCACAAGCCGGCCATGATCGTAAAAAATGGCTTCGTCGTAGATCGATTAGTTTCTGAAATATAACCGGAAATGTAAAAGTGCAAAACCTACTGCTTAATCTCGCTAGAGCCGTACTTAGATGTTGGAGACTTGCACTGTTATTGGGTGTCCGGAAACGAGAAATATTACATGTTAACTTGTCCGTGCCTCTTACCCTGTGCATGTTTCTCTGGTGGTGCTCGGTGGTGGAGCAGCCAGCCGCAGCGGATGTGACGACACAGATGAGGTGCACGGCGCTCACGGGGCCGCTCTCAGCTGCTGTGCACGTGTCGACAGCGACGGAGCACACCTTATATGGAACGTCGGCGGCGACGCCGCGCAGACGCTGTGGCTTTGGTAGATGGTCGGACATTGCGACCTCGGACATAGTCGTTCTCTCATAAGAAAATTGTAACATAACAAGACCATTGCCACCCTTTTGAGAAACAGTACCAACAAAAACCTTATTTACTATACTTTTTGTGTACCCCCAATCTCAATGATCTGTATCCGCCTATGATTTTTGAAAATGCATATTTTTAGGATCCATGTGAATTCCTGGTTCATTCTCTATTGATCGGCAAAAGTTGCGTTAAGATTGGTTCAGAAACTTAGCCGTGATAAACAGTCTAAAATGTATCTGCAATTTGCCCGTTTTTACCCCCCTCTACCCCCTATTGACATTTTTTATTTTTTATTTTTTTTAGAAATGTAGATCTCGTTGAGCTAAATCGAATGCCGTTTGAATTTTGAAAATCGGCCGGTTAGATCTCGAGATATCAAGGGGGGGTCGTAAACAGCCCCCCCCCCCTGCCACTAATATGGGGTAGCCAGGAGCCTGCCACTAATAGGGTTAAGAGTGCTTTGGGAAGGTCTCGTAGAGACCTTTCGAACGCCGCCTCGCGGGGCTCGATGCGACCATTGGTTCTCGAGATAACAGGGGGGGTCGGATCTGACCCCCCCCCCCAGGCTGTCGTGGGTACGGAAATGTATGCTTTTGAAAAGTTGCAGATGAACCAGCTGCATCTCCTGCGACCCCTCCCCCCCCCAAGATTCCTTTACTACTGCGACCCCCTCTCCCCGTTTTCCACCGCCACTGAAGGGAAAATTTGAGATATGGTAGCGCTTTTCTTTAGCCTTTGACAAATAGGGTGCGGCAAATATGCCTCATCAAGTGTACTTTATTCACTACTTTATTCATAGCACAAAGATCGAACGATGACGTCATCGACTAAAATAGACGATAAAAGATCGATTCTCATTGGCTGATATGCCGAGCTGTACGTTCTATGACGTCAGAGATTAGCAAGTTCATACCAAACAAAACGTCACTAAATGATACCAGTCAGAGGGCGTGATCAGTTCCTATTTGTATTGTTGAATCTTGAGGAAGTGCGTTGAAGTGCACGCATATTGTGGCATTTTGTTTGCAGTAGTACTTCGTAGCTTAAAGTGAATTGTTCAAAATATCAGTGTAGTGTATTTTCTGTTACGGAAGATTGGTTTGTTTGGATGCTGCCTTAGACTTCCTGTAGCTAGTCAAGATGACAATCAAAATATACGTTTCTGGGCTGTCTGGAAACTATGAGGCAAGTAACCCCTGGAAACACATGATATTCAAGATTGTGGGGGGACTTCCAAGTAAAATTGTTAAACCTTTTGCCGGGTCGTACTATTAACTATATTATTTGCCAGCTCGCGCTGTATGGTGGCACTAGCAGAGCTTGTTGTATAGGTACCGATGTGAGATATAGATGACTAAATATCTATCTATTGTAATATTTTTAAAGTTTTATCTATAAATGCCTTATCAGTTTTCTATAAATGGCAGCTGACTGATTCCTGGCCTTTTCCCAACATGTGTTTTCCAGGTAAAGAAGCGCCAGCAGCGGATTCAGACTGTGCTGGACTCGTGTGCCATTGCCTATGAGCTGATAGACATTACGGAAGCTGGCTGTGAGGATGAGAGAAAATTTATGCAGGAGACCGCCAAAGCAAAGGAGGGGGACCGGAACCCCCTGCCACCACAGATATTCAATGACAAGGACTACTGTGGTGTAAGTACCTACCATGCTTATTTGGCCACCAGCCCACCACATAGGTACTCTGCCTTTTGGGATGTATTCTTGTACCTACTGCCTGTTGTTTACCTTCCACATACCTTTTACATATAAGTAATGTCCATCTTGTCAAATCTTCAGAGAATGCTATTTCACTGTATTTCTAGCTTTGGTATTTTTTTAGTTTTCTGCTGACTAACTAGCAGGTGTTTGCTTAGATGTGAAAAGTTATAATAACCCTCAAGTGTCAGTATTTAGTACCTATTTGTCAATGTCATAAGGTATGCTAATGGTGTGCTGTGTGGACTGGGAATTAACTATATACTAGTTTCCAACAGTATCAAGTGCTCACATTAAAAGCCTTGTGAAGTTAGTGAACGGGGTGAGCTGCCTCTGTCTATGCGGCCACTGGGCATCCCCAATGTCTATAGAAACTTGACTGAGCATTCTTCCTGTTTCTTGGGTGTTTGAGCATGCACTAGATGTCATGACCTACACAGTCACAGTATCCTATATATGCGTTTTACCTCCAAAATCGATTTTTGCAAATAATTTTGAGGCAATGTTTAATGCATAAGCCTTCATTTGTCTTGTTTTATAAAGCAAGGTGCTAACTCCTCATAGTTGTATGTAAATGTATCTTGCTCTAGGCCCATTCCTTAACCACAGGGGTTTGTACAGGTATTTGGGCCATGATCTGGAAAATAACATGGTGCCTGGTGGAGAATCATTGTTCATATATCACGCTCACTCCAGATGTTTTTTTTTTTTGTACGAGTCGATGTCCTGTCCTCTACCATGCAAAAGCAATCCAAAGTGCCGACCACGGCCCTCATACGACCCCGAAAATACCGCAGAATGTGATGGCCTGTCCTCTGGACAAGCTGACCTGTAAAATGGTGGTCCTCAGAGAGCCAAAAGTGGTGATTGCCCTTTTGTTCAACTCTCATTCAACCTGTTCGACTTTCATTCAACCCGGAATTCATCCCGGCTTATAGGTACCATCCGGAGACCGGATGGTATAAGCCGGGACCTGCGTGATAAGTTTCGCTTGGCCCCCTCTGTCTATGTGTCCATTCAAGCATGGGAGCCTATTTTTGAAATATATTATTCAGAAGTTATTTATAATACACAGTCATTTCTATAGACTTGATTGCATCATATTGCAGAGGAACTTTGCCTTCATGGATTGCAGTTGAAATCATGTTTTCACCGAAATGCTATGTCTACGGCTTGCCGAGACATAAAATGTCGTCGTTCTGTTGGAAGCTGAGGACATGTCCTAATCTGACTCACATCTGTCACTTAAAATCACTATACTCGGAACAAAAAATCATGTTAGGATAAACTTAACATAAAATCATCATGGTAATCTGGTATCTGCTAGATCAAAAATAGTCTACCACTGCCTTAGAGTTCGAGGTATCTGTGTGCAGTGTGTCGATTGTGCGTTGACCGCTGCCCGCCCGGCTCGGCCGAGCGCTGGCCGCTGGCTCGGCCGAGCGCTGGCCGCTGGCTCGGCCGAGCGCTGACCGGCTGACCGCCCGGCTCGACTGACCGCTGGCCGCAGCTGTCGGGCCGCGTCCGGCGCCGTTTCCGTTGGCCGCCTCAGCCCGCTGGCACGGCCCGTGCCGACCGCCTGTTGCCGGCAGGACTATGACGCCTTCGATTACGCCAACGAGACCGATCAGCTGCACCAGTTTCTGAAGCTGAGCGAGGGCGAGGTGAACACCGCCCAGGACATCCTCTCCGCAAACCGGCGCGCCTCCATCAAAGAGGTACGGCGTCCAGACCAGAGGCTTTTTAAACTTTTCTTGGGCCTTTTTTTTGTCAGATGGAATGTAATGGCAGCACTGTATTGACTATTGATGATGCCCTTCCATGATACGCTGAGAGCGACGTGTTTCAGGTTATATATATATATATATATATATATATATATATATATATATATATATATATATATATATATATATATATATATATATATATATATATATATATATATATATATATATATATATATATATATATATATATATATATATATATATATATATATATATATATATATATATATATATATATATATATATATATATATATATATATATATATATATATATATATATATATATATATATATATATATATACCGTGTTCCTGGTCATATATATATATATATATATATAGGTATATATATATATATATATATATATATATATATATAGGTATAGGTATATAATGCCTATAAATTATTGTAGAGCCTACATTAAAGGGACTATCCCACCTTTAACATGGGGTTTGAGTTGAGATAGCCAAGTTTGCGGCGAGGTTCAGAAACCACTATCTATCTAGGTTGCAACCCCCGCGGCCTCTTGGTGTTGAAGAAATTCGTTCCCTTCATTTGAAAATGGGCCTTGTACAAGGCCCTATCTTCAACATGGAGCGACCGTTAGTGTGACGTCACCTCGTTTAGTCATTCCGATTTAAATGGGTTTGTTCGTTGAAAAATCGCTTAAAACTTGGTCTGAACTTTGTTGTGGTGCCTACAGAGTAAAAAGAATCAGCTTTATGACAGTAATGTGGCCTGGGGAAGGAGGTAATTTTGGGCTGTGACGTCACATACTTGAAAGTTTGTGTTTGGAATATGGGAAGCCTAAGATGTTTAATGAAAAATAAATGCCAGAACCGTGTTCCTGGTCATCCAATCTATAAAGTCGGGCACAATTAAACTGGTTTTAACAACATTTTAGAAGGTGGGATAGTCCCTTTAAAATACGGTGGTTGATGCAGGATGCAGTTCGTTTTTTTTTGTGATAAAGACTGTCGAATGGGTCACTATTAGTCGCTACTGTGCGTTCTGTCAACTGAACAACTGAGTGTTCTGTCTTCCGGACTGTGAGATGTTGTTTTGTGGTCGTGCTGACCCTGGTGCTGACGACTGGCTCTGTGTAGCACACAACAGCGGAGAACGGCCTCGACGAAACGCCGAACGGCGACCAGACCGACGCCAAAGAAGAGCCAAGCTTCTGGGACGAGAAAAAAGAGGAGGATGATAGTCCAGGGTTCTGGGATGAAAAGAAAGACGAAGACAATACTGCCAAAGACGAAAAAGCAGAGGACGATAGTCCAGGATTCTGGGATCAGAAAGAGGGAAGCCCAGTAAAAGAGGTTAAGAAGGATGAGGATGACAGCCCTGGTTTCTGGGATCAGAAAGAAGAAAGTCCTGTAAAGGAAGTAAAGAAAGAAGAGAACGAGAGCCCTGGATTTTGGGACGAACAGGGAGATAACGAAAAGAACGAGGAACAAAGTGAAGAAGTAAAACCCTCCGAAGATGTGGAAGCGGAACATGCAAAAGATGAAGAAAAAGAATCCGAAAGTGAAGAAGAAGAAGAAGAAGAGGAGGAAGATGACGATGAAAACCCAGATATAGCAGAGTTGAAGGATGTAGCACAGAAACTGGTATGTGTATTTTGAGTTTGACAAAGTTTGCAGTGCTGACTATCGATGAATTAGTGGAGTCTTCCGTACTCTTCGGATTCTACTAACGTTTGGGCATGATCTCTAGCATTTTAAGCACAGGACATTTGTCACTTACCTAGTCATCGTGTTTTGCACGCATTCGTAGTACAGTCTGGTGTCATCTTCTTGCTGCTCTGCATCGTCCAGCCCCCAGCGTGGCTATTCCAAAAATCGACGCTGGCATTGGAACTTGGAAGACTCTTTATAGCTGTGTTAACTTTCAGCAAATTGCGATTACGAAACGATCGCAGTGTACTTCATGTCACTCTGGGTTAGTCAATAACAAAATAACAGGATTTCATTAACATGTTTTGCTGTGTTCTAACTTGGTTCTAACAAGGTTTGAGCTGATTATTAACTACGCATAGTAATACGAATTTCGACACGTATGTTGCTCATTGTCCATGCTTTGCATTATCGTTAGCCTCTTCCTTGCATTAACACCTTATATAACAAATGGATGCAGAGTGTCGGCCTTAATTAATCAGTTTCCTCACAACATGTGACTGTTGAGAGTCCAGACAAGAGCATGCCTAAGATAGGATTTGCTTTTTGTCAGTTTCATGATTCCAGAATGCCGTCATTTAATTCGTATCCATGTCTTAGTCCGAATGCTTAGCTATGAATTGTGTTGTTACGCTTCTCTAAAATGGTTGCATTGTTATGCTTTCCGTCACCAATAGACTGAGCAGTAGTGTTAGCTGAAAGGTGATTTGAAGCATCACTACAAAGTACATATGCATCATGCGTACCGTGCTTGTCTTGTTTAGAACCTTGTGTAGAGCTTCGAACGTGCGGGTTTGCCAGTTCTCTCTCACTCTCATTTTGTCTACTTCACTCATTTTCAGTCTCTCGAAAAGTATATTTACATTATGGACTGGCAGACTACGCCCCTGTCCCAGCTAGTAAATGTTTTGACGTCTACCCCTAGTTGTATGTCAGTATCATGTGGTCGCTAACAGCCTGTTCTGGCGTAGTCACCTCTATTTGTTCGTGGTGTCCCAGTCTAGTTGAACGCACCCCTCAAATGCTTTGATGTAGTAGTTAGTGATCGACCTTTCGCATGCGTTCGACAGCCGACATCGGGCGAAGAGGATCGCGATGGGAAGAAAGAAGACAGCCCCGGCTTTTGGGATCTGAACACTGAGGAAGATTTGCCTGCCAGGAAAACGACTAAGGAAGATAGTCCCGGGTTTTGGGATGAAAATCCGGAAGATGATTTCCCCACTAAAAAGGAAAAGAAAGAGGAAAGTCCCGGATTTTGGGATGAGAATCCGGAAGATGATTTCCCCACTAAAAAGGAAAAGAAAGAGGAAAGTCCCGGATTTTGGGATGAAAATCCGGAAGACGATTTTCCCACCAAAAAGGAAAAGAAAGCGGAAAGTCCCGGATTTTGGGATGAGAATCCGGAAGATAATTTTCCCACTAAAAAGGAAAAGAAAGAAGGAAGTCCCGGATTTTGGGACGAGAATCCGGAAGACGATTTTCCCGCTAAAAGGGAGAAGCAAGTGGAAAGTCCAGGCTTCTGGGATGAAAATCCAGAAGACGATACTCCCACTGAAAAAGAGAAGCAAGACGAAAGTCCTGGATTCTGGGACGAAAATCCAGAAGACAATTATCCCAGTAGAAAAGAAAAAGAAAAAAGTCCAGGGTTCTGGGACGAGAATCCCGAAGACGACTTCCCCAGTAAAAGAGAAAAGGTTGAAAGTCCGGGATTCTGGGAGGGGGATGGGGAAAAAGAGGAAAGCCCTGGGTTCCAGGAAAGAACAGTTTCGGCAGGGGACGAAGAGAGAGGGGATAAATCGGGAGTAAGGGACGAGAGTGATGCCACGCCAGTTAGAGGAGACGAGAAAGAGGAGACACGGGCAGCCGGGGATGATACTAAGGTGGCTAATCCGTCTGCAGAGGCAGGGAAGGAGGATGATACCACGGGGTTCTGGGACGATGTGGATGACGATCATTCTGGGGGCAAAAATACCGATGATAACGAGGGCTTTGGTGATGGCAAGGAGGATGCGCAAGCTCTCGGAAATATGGAGGTGGCTGGTGGATCTCTGGGTCCAAATGAGCATCTCACAGCGGAAGCTCAGGGGAAAGGGGATTATCCTGGTTCTGGGGACAGAATTAAGGATCAGCACGCTGATGGAAAGGGAGGGGATGGCCCAGGGTCTGTGAATGAGGGCGCCCATGTTGATCTGGACGAGGACGAGGATCGCAAGGGATCCGGTGACGCCCCTGATGGCGAGATGGTGGACGCCGACGCCGATAAGACAGACGCTGCCGAAGACGAGCGTCGTGATACTGAGGCCAAGACAGAAGCTATGCAGCCAGGCTCCGCAGAGCAAGAGTCTGGTACTGGTAACGAATCGGACTCGGAAAAAGAGCCCAAAGGCCATGATGAAACTGAAATGGCAGATCCAAAAGTAAGCGACAAAGGAGATGCGGAGGAGAGCGTCGCAGCTGTTACTGCTGATGGAGAGAAAGGCGCAGAGCCGGAGAGGGCTCAGGAAGGTGGACGCTCTGAAGGCAACGTTGACGGCACGGGATCGCTGACTGGAAATGGAGATGGTATTAAAGCTGAAGGGGGAGAGGCCACTGATGATAACGAGGATGTCTCCGGTTAGAGATGCGTCACAGGCTTGGTATGTGGTCTTTGCCGGTGTGGTTTGTACCAGTTTGACTACACTTAACAGCGTTATTGCAATGCGAGTGGTACTAACAGCTTGGAGATGTGGTAGAACGGGTAGTGCTCCACCAAAGTTGTGCGAGTTATAACAAAATAGTTCCGGTGTGTGTTTGAAAGCTTACGACCATGGTAGCATGCAAATGTCTGACGTTTTAATAATGTCTGACGTTTATATAATAACAATATCAGCGTGAGTTGTCTGCAGTTCATTTGGCGTGTTGTATCGATAAAAGCATGCTGCTCCCAGTTGTATAAACAAAGTTAGGCTTCAAGTATTCCCCTTTGTTTTGTTTTTAAATGCTCGAAACATATGACAAGTGTGGTTGCATTTGACTGCGCTAAGCGCAACCGTGTAACCATGCAATCGTGTCACCAAAATTATTGCCTTACATAGATTGTTTCGGCACAGTTGTTTACATCCTAAAATGCCATCCTCATATTGCAGCCTGTGTAGAAGTTCCACCTGCTGCGGCCAAAAGTTTGGTAATTTTCGAAGAGTTTGTCGATATTCTGTTACAATGTAATTGGCGAATACTGGATGGGTCTTCAACCCGCTATTGGCATACCTCTCATTTATCAACGCTTTGGCATGCGAACAACCAAAGTGTGAAAAGCTCCACTAACGTGCAAGTGTGACTTCTCGATACAATGTATTGCAACTTGCAACCACTCATGCTAAAATATGGAAAATAAGAAAAATACCGTTGTTCACGTATTTAATGTTACACGAGTATAGTGTTTTAGTTTTCTGTATTGGTTTCCGGTTCGCTGTTGAATTTCGCCAGTGTTGTCGCGTCGTATGGTTTCACTGTGCCCCGAGTCCCCCCCCCCCCCCGTTGGCCCTCCGAGTGACCGCTGTGACCGGTCGGCAGGTCGGCAGCGGCGACAATGAACAGGAGAACCCCGAGAAGGAGGGTGAGTGCAGCCTGGCACCCCGCCGCGCGCGCGCGCTGATTGTGTTTGCCCACCGGCCGACCGCCCGCCGGCAGCGGGCAGTTGGCCCGAGAGCTCTGCCATTTACCGGAGAGGGACCCGGGGACCGTGCTCGCCCCGTGTCCATCAGTATACGGCCAGACATTTACACAATTAGGGCTTAGGTTCAGTCCCGACGGGTGGTACAGCAGTTCACGCTGCGAGACAATGGAATTGGCTCAGTATTCTAGTAATCCTACATGAAAGCTTACTGCGTGCCCCCAAGGCCGTATATAGGCGTGCCCATATCTCCCTCCTTATTTTTTCTCTTCCACTCCCTCTCCCTCCCTTGTCTAATGATTCTTGCCGCCTTTGTGTTCTCTCTGTGTATTTTGTAGGTATGTTTTGAATGAAACTCAGCACCTTATTTCTGCCTTGGTAGCTGCACTGCTCTGCGCATTGCACACGAGCGGCTTTCATGTTCGGAGTCGCCGTCAGCTATTGATTTATTGAGCCCTCAGATGACTCATGCTTGCCTAGAATGGCTGTGTTATTCATAATCATGCATCAGAGGTTGATACTGGATTCGCGAAGTCCAACTCCAGATTCAGTTAAAGGGACTATCCCACCTTCTAAAATGTTGTTAAAACCAGTTAAATTGTGCCCGACTTTATAGATTGGATGACCAGGAACACGGTTCTGGCATTTATTTTTCATTAAACATCTTAGGCTTCCCATATTCCAAACACAAACCTTTCAAATATGTGACGTCACAGCCCAAAATTACCTCCTTCCCCAGGCCACATTACTGTCATAAAGCTGATTCTTTTTACTCTGTAGGCACCACAACAAAGTTCAGACCAAGTTTTAAGCGGTTTTTCAACGAAAAAAAAAACATTTAAATCAGAATGACTAAACGAGGTGACGTCACACTAACGGTCGCTCCATGTTGAAGATAGGGCGTTGTACAAGGCCCATTTTCAAATGAAGGGAACGAATTTCTTCAACACCAAGAGGCCGCGGGGGTTGCAACCTAGATAGATAGTGGTTTCTGAACCTCGCCGCAAACTTGGCTATCTCAACTCAAACCCCATGTTAAAGGTGGGATAGTCCCTTTAAGATCCAGTATGTATTTAAATGCAAAATTTCTGGTCAATACCCGTGGCATGCACAACACACAGGACTAAAACCCTGATGTGGGTACCTAGTGAATAGTGACTTTGTAATGCCAAAACCCCTTTTACGATTGAAATACATTAAATAGATCATAGACCTCTGTGACCTCTGTACTAAGGGTCCCCAGAGGTCTATGGATAGATGTTTCAAGTGTAAATTTTACTTAATCCCTCAGTTATGCTTATAATTATTTCTAACCGTTGCACAACTTATCGCAATAAGAGTTAGCGAAGGATGTATTACTTTCTCATAACTGTGCAAGCACGCACTAGGCAGGCTAGTAAAATCATGTAGGTAATTGCGATGTATTAGATAAAATTATACGGCCGATTCGCTAGCGGAAACGTAACAGTTTCAATGTTTTGTTCCACATTTGAAAAAGACCCCTCTGTGTACAAAGCATGGCGCTGCATCCCCTGTGCTCTATGTGTAGCTGTGAGGACAAGTGCGAACTTCCACCGGCTCACCGACCCCTGTGTGACTCGTTGCAGTGTGGCCGCGGGGCTTCAGCCGCAGAAACACTTTGGTCGAGCTCTGAGCCCAACCCACACGCACACACGCACACAACACACGGTATCTGTATAGACTAGCGCGCACTGGCCGTAGAGTCGGTAGTCCCGTTCAGGTAGAGTAGAGTCTAGTTTCTTGAGTTGTGTGCACTGCGCACCATCCGAACCTCCATCAGTTATAGTCTCGGCAGGGTGTACCGTCATCTACGGTCAGTGGCGGATCCAGGGGGGGGGGGGCAAAATGGGCATTTGCCCCTCCCAAACGGCATAATTTTAACATTACGCCTATGGACGAGGCATGGAAAGAATCGATAAATTGTTGTGGTTTGCCCCCCCCCCCCACAAAAAAAAACTGAGCTGGATCCGCCTCTGTCTACGGTAGTGATGGTTTTAGTGTCCATTCGTATTACGTTATTTGCGTAGATAAGAGGCATATCCAATATCCATCCACTCTCCAATAGGAACAGTTCATTCATAACATGTCTCAGTCGACTAGAGCTGACTAGCTATTGTATATATAGCTATTGTATCTTCAAAGTCATACCCACATGTGTGCGTCACTGCCCGTCATTCTTCGGTTTTCACCTAAGGTCGCGTGGTCATAAATGGACTGGCTCCCTTTATCTTTCCTCAAATTACCGTTTCCGATCATTTTCGTGTTGCCTGAAAGCTTTCTATGAAGGTTCATCACTAGCTTATTTTTTACGTTTTAGTTAGTTGTTTTCAAGCCCTCTCACTTTTCAGATGCTGCATGCCTAAAATTTATCGTAGGACCTATTTACGTTAGATTTGCTCATCAATTTACGAGGTGAAAAGTGACCATAACAGCATACAGACTACGGAGCTATGATGCATCGCTTCGCTGATCGGTAACTCCTGGCCAATTACCCATTATCACCTGATGCTACTTTCCAGCGGAAATCGCTTCTAGTGCGGGAATCCCTATTCGTTTGGGTGGGCGGCGAAAGGGCCGAACAGCATTGCAGATTGCTGGAGAAAAATGTTCTTCACCCGCAAAAGTGTTCAATGTTCATCTGAGCTCGTAGTGCGGACTGCGGTACTACGAACTGTTAGTTCCCCGGACCGCCACCTGGCGGCTCGCTAATCGCGACCAGGCGCCTCGGCCATGATCCTTCCAGGAAAGTGATCAGATATCCATGGTTGGGGTAAGGACGGCCCGCGGTTGGTGGAATTTCGTCCAGGGCTGAACTTAAGAAACATACAGGGTGGACCAAAAAGGATGGAAACATTTTGAACTCGCATAAAATATTTGTTATTGCATGCAGGTGACTGAAAATGATACCAAACGAGAGTACATTTCGTGGAAATTCATAATGACATCTCTCTCATCTGCTTTCTCTCGTTTTCAGTCTCCCACAGCAAATGCTCGAAGAGGCCACTTTTGCGAGACAGGCAAAGAAAGAGCGGCCCGCCTGGCTGCTGACGGGATAGCCCGATGACACATGTCCGCTGGTTTGGCTCGCACAGCCTTGGTGATCACTCTCTTCAGGTAACAGATGCCTTTAGAACCTTCCTTGTAGACCTGGCCTTGAGATGACCCCACAGGAAAAAAAATCCATCGGGGTCAGGTCAGGTGATCAGACAGGCCAGTTCCGACAGGCACTGCGGGATATCAGCCGGTCACCAAAGTGGTTCTCGCTCCACTTGAGCGTTGTTTCGCGATGTGAGGAGGCGCACCGTCTGGCTGGAATCACATGAGGTCCATGAGACTGCCATACTTCGTTTGGGCTCACTTCAACAACTTCTTTAGCGTCGCTTGGTAGCGCTTTTGGTCGTCAGCCACGGTGTTGTCGCTCCCATCCTCGAACCGAAGTGGAACTAGCCTGTCTGTCTTCTCATCTGACCTATGGATTCCTTTCCTATGGAGTCATCTCAAGGGCCAGGTCTACAAGGAAGGTTATGTAGGCCTCTGTTATCTGAAGAGAGCGATCACCAAGGCTGTGCGAGACATACCAGAGGACATGTGTCATCGGGCTATCGCTTCAGCCGGCAGGCGGGCCGCTCTGTGCCTGTCTCGCAAAGGTAGCCTCTTCGAACATTTCTGGTGAGAGACTGAAAACGAGAGAAAGCAGATGAGAGAGATGTCATTATGAATTTCCACGAAATGTTCTCTCGCTTGGTATCATTTTCAGTCACCCGCATGCAATAACACATATTTTATGCGAGTTCAAAATGTTTCCATCCTTTTTGGTCCACCCTGTATGGTAGTGACTACCGAGCTCATGTTCAATCAGCAGTTGGGCACCGTTTGAGCGCAGGTCTATTATCGCCTGCGGTCCGGTGCCCCGCTCACCGCCGCCATGCCATTGCCCGTGTCTGACTCTGTGGCTCTCTGTTGCAGACTGAGGTTGGTCGTCGAGCTGTGCTGCCCGGCGGCCCGGCCTTTTTATACCGTGCTGACGGGGCGCCGACGGCCGCCAGCCGCCGGCGCCTCGTGCTTGTGCGTGCGTCGCTTTCAAGGTTCACACCGAGGAGGAAGTCTGGTGGAAATTGTATCACTGCTCAGCCCGATGTGCGGGGAGGTGGCAGTCGCTGCACCACCGCGAGATTCCGTTCAGTGAGCCCACTTCAAACGACGCTGTGTTCATGGCGATCAAGTGCTTCTGATCGGTTGTTTATTGAGATTTCTTGCTTTACATATGCGTTATTGCTTTGTAGTTAACAGACCCCCGCCGTACGGCGGTTTGGTTTTATGTTTGCGCCGCCTGCGTGAATGTTAGCACACTGCGCAACCCAGTAAGTCGTTTGCCAAACCCTATGATCACGAAGTGGCGGTGTGTGCTGCGCTGTTCTGTGGCTGATTTTATCCGAATTGCTACCAACGAGATGTGTATGTGCGGACACCAGGCTGTCCAATGACTATGTCAAGATGCTTCCTGAGCTTTCCCTAGCTTTAGTGTAGGATTGTTATTTCCTGTTCCGGCGCATCGCATTTCTTTGGTAATCTGGTGCCCATCTTTCCCGTTTTTCACCTGTTAAGTTATCCTAACTTTGCGGATTGCGGAAATAAATCGTGTCACAAATTTTATAAAATTGTTCCAATCATGCTGCGATTACCCACGGTTGAGACTTAGAGAGCAGTAATTCGTTTTCAGGGGGGGGGGGGCGAGTCCTGACTCCCCCCCCCCGAGTCGCCAATTAGCAAACAGTCTGCTCCTTACCGTTAGCTAGCATTATAAGGGTCATCATTCGCATTTCCTCCATGACCCGGTCTTGCACCCACCCACACTGGTCGGAAACGCTCCAGCGAGAGGCCAGCGGCCTTTCCGCAAAAGTTTTTTGCTTGTTATTCCACAACTAGTGAAGCAAACTTCATAAAACTTTGCATACCTTCTCTTTCATATGTAAGCTATCATTTGGATGTCAAGCACTAAATATATGACGTGAATCTGTTAAGTTATGACGTCATAATTGAGTATAATACAGGATCTAGCACCACTTTAAGTCAACAAGAGAAATTGGGAGCTGCTATTCGGGCACCGGGAATGGTTTCATGCACTCCTTGCAAGGTCCAGTGCTTGACTTTAGCATTGTTGACTTTGCGTGACGTCATTTATGACGTCACTAAGGCCATGTAAGTTTTTCGTCAATAACTCCTGATCAGATGGAGCTAGAGAGTCGGGAAAGCCACCATTGGACTCAGGAAGACCTGCCGAATCGAATGATATGCAATATGACCTCCTTCAACCATTTTCGTGACCTGAGGGGCTCCGACCTGACCTTGACCCGAGGTTAACACCTTAACCCTCGCCGGCACAGGGGGGGGGTTGATGCAACCCCCCTAAGGTTTTTCGCGAATAACTCGCGTAAAAAGCGGCCGATTGCGATGAAACTTTCAGTACCCTGGCATTGATCAATTTTACACCTACCCTGAAAATTTCATGACCCTAACCCTAATGACCTTTGACCTGTGACCTCTTTTCCGTGACCATGTTTGGCCGAAATCGCGATTCGGCGTATGTCGGCTCGCATTAGCCGCGCGTTTGCAAGCTTTTCGTGGTTTCAAACGTTCAAACATGTGATTGGATGTTGCTCCCATACATAAGGATGGGTGTCAAGGTCACCTGAAGGTCAGGTCAGGTCATTGACCTTTGGTGACCTCGGGTGACCTCGGTTCACTTTTTCGAGTTTTACATGTTTCTAGGCTAGTTTTTGGAGCTGAATTCAATTTAGCAACCATTTGAACATTTACGAAGTAGTTTTGGCGCCTTCGTAACATGCTACGAAGCTGTCAGAGGCGGTTGACACGTATTACGAATACCCGTCACAACCCCTACCGGTTGACCTGACCTGACCTGACCCGACCTGGTCTAAATGCTTAAAGACATCATTTCTGATCAAAACTAATACGATATTCGTGATCAGCACCCCGGAAAACCACATAGCAGCCACAATTTACGACTTTCTAACAGGTCCCGATTTTCCCGGTTTTCGGGTCATTGACCTGACCTGGAAGGTCACCCGATGACCTAGGACCTTAAAATTGGGTATCATCGGCTTTCTCTCGTGACGGGCAACACGCTCATTTTTTTCCGCGAGGCTCTAGCTCGATCAGGGGCCAAACGCGAGGGGGGGTCGTACCAATCCCCCCCCCCCCCTGTGCCGTCGAAGGACGCAAAATGGCCTGTGCCGGCGAGGGTTAAGTTGACTTCACCCGAACACCAAGTATAGCATTCAACGCGCCTGAGCTAGACAAACACGATTATGCCAAAATCGCGGCAGTGCGACCATTTTTGGCAAAGTAATTAACCTAAAACTGAGCCCGTGCCTTGTGGCACTTACCTGACCTAAGAGGTCACTGGCTGATCTAAGACCTTAAAATCGGGTAGTACCTAATTTTTGCGTCTTATAACGGCACACAAGCTTGTTTTTTTTCCGCGAGGCTCTAGCTCAATTAGAGGCGAAACGGCGAGGGAGTTGTACCAACCCTCCCCGGTCAATGCAGAAAACCAATCGGTCCGGCCAGGGTTAAATACCGGAATTGTGATCTAATGTAAAAAGACGGCCAAAGGTAACCCGACGTCAGTGACAGGTGTCCTATATTTGCAGCGTCTTATATTCACGAAGGTTTCAATTTCCACTTTGTTCAGCCGAGTGATGGTTGTCAATTGCAAGGCTCTCTAAATGCAAGCCGTAATCGCCACGCAATATGTGGAAGGCTTTTAACGTCAATACATACATAAATGCATACATAAAACGCGCTTTTCAAAAAATTCATAAACTCAAGCGCATCTGTTTTAATGACCAGTCAACTACGCATGGATGCGTGCAGGCCACACAGGTCAGCGTAAGCCGGGCGCGGCGGCCGAACCGAAACTGGGGCGGGGCGGGCGGTAGTTGGGTAGGAAGAGTGGCTCCTGCAAATTTTGCGCAAATATGCGCAGTTAGCTTTTATGTTGCCCTGGTGTAAATTTAAATCCTACTTCATCTCACAAAAAATCAGAGTGGAACTAGATGGGACTACCTGTTGTTTCCTTACCTAAACTTTGCAGTTATATTCCAGAATCACTGTAGGAGAGCCTTCATAAAAAAGCTATAGTACATCTTAGTTAGGGAAAAAGTATACCAAAAATTTTGCACTGACCAGTCGGCAACTTCATAACGAACATTTTGATGCATAATATGTGGGATTTCAATTTGGTGTCTATCAGCAATAAGACTCTGAATATCCGGCTCAAGAAACCTCTTGCTCCGCGTCAATTTCCGAGTTCTGGGATACCCCATCTTCGGGGGCTGATTACAGCTATTTTTGGTCACCCGGATTAGTTTTTTTGGCCTAAGTATAATAATTTGATCAATTTCAAATCGATCTATATAAAAAATAATCCGAAACTCCGGAATCGCCCGTGGCCTCTCGTGAGGGCGTTTCCGACCAGTGTGCCACCCTCAGTTGCACGATCATGCGCTAGAGCTCTCGTCTTGGAGACACTCCGCCCGGACCACCCAAACGCAAAACACGCTCATTCTTCGTCATTGGTTTTGTGTATTAAAACAATGATGAAGATGGTAGTGGCCGCTTAGTCGAAGAGACCGAAGCCCATGTCGTCGTCCGACTCCTCGGGCTCCTCCTCCTTCTTCTTCTCCTCCTTGGCCGGCTCGGCGGCGGCGGCGGCAGGAGCGGCGGCGGCCGCCGGCGCGGCGCCCACAGACGAGCCCACGTTGCTCAGCAGCGACTTGATGTCGGCCGACTCCAGAGCCTTGGCGAACAGGCCCGGCCAGTAGGGCTCCACGGTGACGCCGGCCGCCTTCAGCAGAGTCTGGATCTTCTCAGACTGAAACAGCACAGACAGAGCGTCAGCGGTGCCGGGCATTCAACTCAACCCTCCCTAGCTCAGGCAAGGGGGATATTGTATATTGTACAATACCCCCCACCCACCCACCCCCCAGGTTCTAGCAGATAGCGGAAAATGCGCTAATTCAACCATGCTCAGCACAGGCAATCATTCTTTTCAACATTCCCCGATGATTTACTAGCTGACACTCGGTCATTGCCAATTTATTTTATATTTTTTATGTTATAGTGCTGCACATTTCAAGCTTATACCAATCATGACTAGGCTCATCTTTTTCAACCAGTGGGAAATTATTATACATATGCTACAATAGGAGTGCGCCAGCACTTACACATGTTTGATGACACCTTATCCATCTAAAAAAAAAAAAAAAAAAAAAACAGCTGGGCTGATAATACTTTAAGAACACTATTGATGATTGCTAGAAGGGTGACCCACACTACTGGTAATACTAACCAGTAACCACTATCCAGTGGTATCATACATGTCCATAAAGCTCAAGTACAACAAAACATAACTTACAATATCAATGTTTGAGTTTTAATAGCCTACAATTATTCTGTCAAACAATTAAAGGCAGCATATCACACTCTAACACCAGCATCACTGCCCCTCACAAGTTGTCCAGGTTTCCATGCAGTGCAATGTTTAAATAGTATGGTAAATGATAAAAATGTGATGGCAGCTGAACTATTTTATGTCACTAGTCACTGTAAGTGATGTAGGAAAGGTAAGGTAAGGCAAGGATAGGTTTGGTTAGACCAGGTCATGTCATGTTAGTTGTCATTTTATTTTCAACTATCCTAGTTATTTTCAATTATCTTATTTTTATTTGTAGTTACACCAGCTTTGTCATTTTCATTTCATTTTTTAGTTATCAGTATGCACAGCTTGTTTGAGTCTATGGTATCACTTCAATCACTGACAAATATCACTGTATGTTCTTAAAAACTTATTACAATGCAATTTAGGGGCAGTAGTTCAAGCAAAGAAAATCAAGTGATGATACAGTAATGAGTTGAAATAATAATTTTACAACAATTTTGGAAATATCAGATGGTCTCTATGGTGGTAATGAGTATGACATTTCTTAGCAAATATTAATCAATGCTTAAAATGGTTTAAGTTAATATACCACTTTCCTAAGTTTTTCCTCCAAAGTTTTCAAATCTGAATCTGACACTTAAAATAATAAGAATAAATATCAACAATTTTCAAATATTCACATACAAAGACTATTTTCCATCCCTGCAGTGGACTACAGCAATGGCAGAGGAAGCTGATCACACAAGTTGACTGAACGTACTGCAAATACATATACATAATTTACTTTTAGTGCACCTCATGATTGCAGAACTTCAAAGCTACAAAACAGCAGCAATCTATGATACTTACCACCAGGTACAGTGCAAGTAAGCAGTTCAGACTGACTATCAACCAATTCAGGGTAAGAATCTGATGCAAAATGATTTAAATTCAAGCTTGCAGTTTCTGCAACCCTATCCATGGGAACACAACAGCAAAATATTATTGCGGTATATTATGCAAAATCATCTTTGCAAAATGATAAGATCCATTATCCCGAGCCCCAGAACAAACACCAGTACGAGTCGCCCCCGACATAGAGGCAAGAATGAAGAAGCTTACCGTGACAGCGATGTCATCGTCGGCCAGGATCAGGGAAGCGTAGACGCATGAAGCCTCGTCCTTAGTCGACATGATTATTGCGTTTTATTTCGGTGTAGGTCGTCAAAAATGACCTTAGCCCTTGCGAGGACACTACACCTCAAAAGCAGCCAAGCAAGAAGGAAGTATGCGGCGCTGTTGTAGTATAAACAATAAAAATATATTTTGAGTATGATTTTCATAAGAGAAATGGATATTAAAAAATAAAATTTTCAGCGGAAATATTTGAATTTTTCCACTGCATAACAGTTTTTCATAAAACTGCCGATTTGATGCGGAAGTCAAAGAAACACAATTATTATTTTGCTGCAAATAGCCTTGCAGACAACTTACGGAGGAAGAAGTTCACCAGAGAATGTAAACTGAAGTTTCAGTGATAATGTATTTCATCCATATTTCAATTCAGCATTTAAGTGCAAAATTTTGCATTGATGTCTCATCAGGGAACTCAGAGAGAGAGGAAAAAGCTTTATGCCGGCCCATTCATCATTCAGAGCTGCGCTTTCAATGCCTTTTCTGATTAAAAAATGGTATTAAAGGAACTTATCATAGAAATTTCCTTTTTCGAGCTCTGAATATTCTATGTTTGATATCATCAAAAGAATCTTGAATCGAAATCAAACGTTTTGACCGCAATAAACAAAAATGTCTGTATTTTAATAGGAGTTCGCGCGCTTTCTCGGGGCGCGTAAAGCGCGATTGTGGGTTTGTTGTTGTGTGTTGTGGTTGGGTGCTGCTAGTCGGTAATTGTCATTTTTGCATTTTTTAGGTCTTTGAATTCTTATTTTTCGTCTTGGTTGGTCTTGAAACAGTGTTGAGCATGCGTATGTACGGTTGATTTGAGGATAAACCACCCGTTGCTCTGCGCCTCAAACGTCACGGCCGCGCCGTTCATTATGTCTTCCAAACTTTTAAGAATTGAATTGGTGGTGTAGACTAGGTAGTAGGTACGATTGAAAGTATGTATACGATCAAACCGTCAAGCTGCTCATAACTTTTTGCTTGTAGTGCTAGGAAGCTTCTGTCAATGCAGGACGTCCTTGGACTACTACTGATGTCCTGCGTTTTCCGCAATGTTTTAACAATTGCTTGCTTATGGGCCCTGCTGCCCTGGTTTATGGGCCTTACTAACAACTGGTTGAAATCAGCTGGCAGCATATGATAGCTATGACATTTATTGATATAAACTCGGTAGTAGGTGGACATGAACATGTAAAATGGAACTTGTAGAAAAATTGATATATAGATAGGTATTTAGTCTTTTATACCTAGTATTTATATATAACAAGCTCTGCTGGCGCTACTATACGACACCAGCTAGAAAATAAACCAGCTAGAAATAGTACGGCCCTGTTTTTTGGCCTGCTGCTACCAGACACTACTTGGTTTTGGCCATCACTTTCCATGGGCAGTGATATGTAAGCAGAACTGTCCATTTTGCTTATTTCCTTAGGAACTAAGCTCCAACTTCCAATACATATTAGTTTTTAGAAACATCACATGCTGAAACAATTGAAACAAACAATGGCCTTGTTTCAAGCAAAGCCATGTATAGGCACAGCACATGGTATTTGGTATTCACTAGTACATATGCTGATAAATACCTATGTGGTTTGAACCACTTAATTCAAAGGCTACTGATTTAGTGAGTTAAACTATAAAATTTACAGTTCTGAAGTACCATCTTGCTGACAATGGAGGATTTACAGTGTTGTGCTGTACCTGTTATTTATTATCAGCAACCAGCACTGTTGTACCAAAGGTGGTGACTCACATAGCATTGGATCTGTGTCTGTCACTTCCTAAACCTCTTAGGTCCTCAGACTTGAGCTCCTCAAAAACACCCCCCCCCCCCCCCAAAAAAAAAAAACATGTAGAGCTGCTCCAGGCTCCCCCAACCCCCAGCACTCTTTAAGCACAGATTCAAAGGAACAAATGGTGTGCCTAATTGTCATCACTAAGATTCAATTTTTCTTTTCTTTTTGCAGGTAACTTAAGCATTTTTCCAAGATGGGTGATCTTGGTGTGATTGAGGTGGATCAGTATTTAAGAGATATCCAGAGAGACTATCTTGACTTCTTGGATGATGAGGTAAGTTTTTCGATGCTCTCTTTATTAATTCTTTGTTGTGTCTTTTGTACTTCTTTGTACCTTGTGTGTGATAATGATGATAAACATGCATTTTGCTAACATTTTCAATGCAGTTGAAGCTTAAGCTCCATGTTGGGTAGGTAAGCTTTCATTTCTGAAGAGGTGTCATTAAAGGCCAGTTTTTTATTCTATTTGGTATTGTTGAGGCATACTTATCATGCTGTAGTTGATAGTTATCTAACAAACCATGATAAAGAGTTGCAAAAGTCTCCAATCAATGTATCTTTTTGTGTTACAATTGCAGGAAGATCAAGGGATTTACATGCATCTTGTTCGGGACATGATTGAAAATCAGAAGACCAGACTCATTGTGAACGTGAATGACCTGAGGAATAAGCTGCCTAAGCGAGTGGCCGGGTAAGACAACCTGCTCTCCTTTTGACAGGTGCATGATTTGATTGTTTTCCTGAAGGTATGTGTGCTCAGCCTATGAGTATTTGTTAGATAATTCCATACCGATGATTTTCTGAGACAAATATGTACGGTTCTCCAGGGTATTAGTCGTTGGTCGCTCGGCGAGCGGGAGGGCAACCAGTTCCGCCCCTGTATCGCGTGACCCCTTGCTCCGCCCAGTTACGCACGAGCGTACTCCACGCCGCGTAGTAGCGTGGGGAGGGGAGGGTTAGAATGGTGGCATGTGTAGAGGCTAGAACCGGTTTCCACCGCCATGCCACCGCCCAGCGACATGGAGCGGGGTCAGTGACCAGTGCGCAGGGAAAGGTCAGAGGTCAGCTTTAACATAGAGCTTTGTGTCTCCCTCCCCTCCGTGTGTAACGACCGCACGACAGCGGCCGGCCGCCGATCAGGCTTGACATGTCAAGGTCACCCGCAGTCAACGGGCTCAGAGGGTTGGTCGAGTGCGAGTCCGTGGCTGACGACAGTCTCGACCATGTGCTAACTGCTATGGTGCCGATACACTAGCGCGGGTAATAAGTTTGAGTTCAGTGCATATGACTGCTGGGGCGTGTCCTCTTGATATGATGCTTTGTAACGTGTATGATACGCTTAAAACCTCGCTGGCAGTGGCCGAGAGGAGAGGGGGGAGGCGGTTGCCGCCTCCACATGTTTATTTTTGTTGATAGCTGCGAGAGCTGAAATTTGGCAAGCCTGGCCTTTGATTCAAGCTGAATTTTTATGACAGCAGCTGTGTTTTCACCTTCGCCCATATTGGTGTTTTGCCAGCGTCTATCGTAAAGAGGGGGAGGAGGGTCCGTTGGACCCCTTTGCCGTTCAGCCCCTAACGAGCTAGAGCTTCGCGGGAAAAGAGCGTGTTGCCCGTGACGAGAGGAGGCCGATGATACCCAATTTTAACCCTCGCCGGCACAAGGGGGATTGATGCAACCCCCCCTAAGGTTTTTCGCGAATAACTCGCGTAAAAAGCGGCCGATCGCGACGAAACTTTCAGTACCCTCGCATTCATCAATTTTACACCTACCCTGAAAATTGTTTGACCCTAACCCAAATGACCTTTGACCTGTGACCTCTTTTCCGAGACCATGTTTGGCCGGAATCGCGATTCGGCGTATGACGGCTCGCATTAGCCGCGCGTTTGCAAGCTTTTCGTGGTTTCAAACGTTCAAACATGTGATTTGATGTTGCTTCCATACATTAGGGTGGGTTTCAAGGTCAGCTGAAGGTCAGGTCAGGTCATTGACCTTTGGTGACCTCGGGTGACCTCGGTTCACTTTTTCGAGTTTTACATGCTTCCAGGCTAGTTTTTTAGCTAAATTAGAATTTAGAAACCATTTGAACATTTACGAAGTAGTTTTGGTGCCTTCGTAACATGTTACGAAGCTGTCAGAGGCGGTTGACACGTATTACGAATACCCGTCACAACCCCTACCGGTTGACCTGACCTGACCTGACCCGACCTGGTCTAAATGCTTAAAGACATCATCTCTGATCAAAACTAATACGATATTCGTGATCAGCGTCCCGGAAAACCACTTAGCATCCACACTTTACGACTTTCTAACAGGTCCCCGGTTTTTGGGTCATTGACCTGACCTGGAAGGTCACCCGATGACCTAGGACCTTAAACTTGGGTATCATCGGCTTCCTCTCGTGACGGGCAACACGCTCGTTTTTTTTTTTCCGCGAAGCTCTAGCTCGATCAGGGGCCAAACGCGAGGGGGGTCGTACCAACCCCCCTTGTGCCGTCGAAGGACGCAAAATGGCCTGTGCCGGCGAGGGTTAAGGTCCTAGGTCATTGGTTGACAGGTCAATATAACTCAAAAGTCGGGGAATCGGGACCTGTTAGAGCTTCGTAAAGTGAAGCTGTTATAGGGTTTTGCGGGGTGCTGATCACGAAATTCAAGTTAGTTTTGATCACAGATGATGTTTTCGTGCATTTAGGCCAGGTCGGGTCAGGTCAGGTCAGGTCACATGTTACGAGTGAACTAAAACTACTTCATGTTCAAACGGTTTCTAAATGCGAAATCAACTCCAAAATCTACCCTAGAAACATGTAGAACTCGAAAGAGTGAACAAAGGTCATCAAAGGTCAGTGACCTGACTGATCTTCACGTGACCTTGATACCCACTAGAATCCATGCGATCAACATACTTTCACATGTTTGATCGCTGAAAGCCACAAAAAGACAATAAAACGCGTTCTACTCGAAATACGCCAAAACGCGATTCCGGCCAAACATGGTCTCGGGAAAACAGGTCACAAGTCAAAGGCCTTTTGAGTCAGGGTCATGCAAATTATAGGATAGGCGTAATATTGAATAACTTGAGGGTACTGAAAGTTTCGCCGCAATCAGCCGCTTTTTGTGCGAGTTATTTGCGAAAAACTGAGGGTAGGAGGTCTGTTCGACACCCTCCTACAAGTGCGAAGGTTAAGGTCAGGCCGTTGACCAATGGCGTCAAAAGTGAACCTCTGTAAGGCCCCAAAATGTCGCGACGTCGCAGCACCCTTCGTGTCAGGGGACTTTTCAACGGGAAATGAAGCTTATATGATCTAGTACTATCTCCCATGAGGCCTCACAACTTGTATGTAGCTATCTCGTATTTTTCTTAAGAGTCACCTGAAGTCAGGTCGGTCACGCAGCCTCACGATTATTAATCAATTTAGAAATATGAAAACTGTTATTTTGGCACCGGGAGCCATCTAAAGCTGTCTCAAGCGCATGAATTC